TCTAGGTCATAAAGAAATTGAATGCCAGAAACGGCGCGAGCCCTGAGGGCTTAGGTCACACGTTGACCTGACCTGAAGTAATGTGACAAACAATCCCAGGTCTGTGTCCAACAGAGTTGAGGGGGTTTTTTAGTGAGTAGTCTGACAAGCTCAGGAGTCTCACACTACAGGCTGGCTACCTGTGTGCGTAAAAGCATTTTTACCTCCTCTCCCTTATAAAAAAAAAAAAAAAAAAAAATGAGTTTGTTGGTTTTTCATTAAATACACCATGTAAAATAATCAACCATATTTATTTTCTATAATTTCAAAACTTGTTTGAAACAATTAAAAAATTTAAATATTTACAGAGCTGTGCCAGTAAGAATAGCAAGAAACAGATACATCTACGAGGTACGTTCAGAAAGTAAGTTCCGTTTCCCCTAATCTCCGGGGTAGCGCTGCGATCGCAGTTTAGCACATGCACAGTAGTTACTCTGTGTCAACCGAAAGGTAATGACGCCATTTTGAACTCGCTATTGTTGTACACTTCGTAGCGCTTTTTCGTAATGGCTGTGTTAATTAAGAATCCCACCGATTGTGAATTTCGATAGGTTAGGTATTCGTTTTCTTAATGCAAAAAATGTTGAACCAATTGACATTCACAGACAAATCTGTGAGGTAATGGGGACAATGTAATGAGTGGTTCAATGGTGAGAAGATGAGTTCGACTGTTCAAGGAAGGGCGAGATACAGTGCATGATGAGGAACAAAGTGGTATGAGGTTAATCTGTGGTAAACGATGAACTGATTAGTGCAGACGATGAGAAAGGTTACAGAAAACCCTAAGCTTACGATAAGTGCTCTTGCACGTGAATTTCCACAAGTTGCACGAACAGTAATTTACGAGATTGTTACTGAAAAACTTGACTTTCGTAAATTTTGCACACGTTAAGTGCCTTAAACCCTTTCTGAACAGGAAAAAAACTGCCGAATGGGCAGTGCACTTGATTTCTTGACTTGTTATGACAAGAATGGCAATACATTTTTATCGCAGATAGTCACGAAACTAGATAGTAGACGAAACTTGGGTTGCTTTTGATATCCCTAAAACCAAGCGTCAATCAATGGAATGGAGGCACGCTACGTCCATGGCAAAAATCAAACCAAATCAAATTTTTACACTTCGAAAGGTCATTTGCACAGTTTTCTGGGACTGAAAAGGCATTTTGTAATTGATTTTTTGCTGTGAGGCCAAACAATCAATAAAGATGTTTATTGCGAGACACTCAGGAAATTACGTCGCGCAATACAGAATAAGCGCCAAAGGAATGGTCATGAAAGAGCGGTTTTCATTCATGACAATGCTCGACCACACACCGCAAATGGGTCGAAGACACTTCTTCAGGGCTTTGGCTGGGACGTTTTTGACAATAAATTTCTTTCCTGTATATGTATTCGTTATTCTTTTATTTCAGAACGGAACTTACTTTCCGAACTTGCCTCGTATATAGACCTACTGCTAAATAGTCCAGTCATTTAGAATATGAAAAAGCTCCCAGATTTTTAGGCATGGAATATTTTCAAGGTAAAACAAATTATAAAACTAAAATAATACCCCCGCCGCAGCAAACCTGCAGACGAAGCGAATTTCCATTTGCTTGGTTAGATTTTCATTTACATACATTTATTAGAATAACATTAGTTTTATTGAAAACCTAGTTTTGCGGTTAAAGGGAGGGTAATAATACAGTAAAGTGTGTATTTAGTAAAATAATAATAGCTTAGTATAAAATAAATAAATTTGCTAAGTTTGATCAAAATATATCCAAAAACAAGCAAATAATAACAGTTAACTTATCCTCCATAATTTTAAATTTACAATTTCTTGAATTTTCTCCATAGCCATAGTACAAAAAACACTTCAATATAGGTACAGTACTAAATTATTTGTTCTTTAAGCTCATCAAATTGTTTAGAGATAAATTATGAAATTTTATGTGTTGAGAGTCAAAAATGAGAAGTACCAATTTTCACCCCATATATACCTTCCCACTAAACCCTGTTCCCATGCTCGAATCATGCTGGTTTGCAAACTTGTTACAGTAGAATAAACATGGGTCTTTTATATTTACTAATTTAATAAAAAATCAAATGATTTTTACTCGAGTTATTGTGCTAATGAGTTACTCTGTGTGAACAGATGGTGTTTTTGGCCTCTGGGGACATCAAAACAAAAAAGTAATTGATCCCTTGTCCAGTCTTACCATGAGACCTATGGTAATAGAATAGCCTATTACTGGAAAATTTGCTGAAAGTGAAATTTTCTTGTGCAACTCTTCCAAATGATCTTTCTCAAGGATTAGGTTTCAGTAGCGCTTAAAGGTTTATTCTTCCAATGGAAGACAGTTGTTAAGACACAGTACAAATAAGCCCCATAGCTTTGAAAATATTCAGTATAAAAAAACCAATCTAACACTATTCTAATACTCTATGTCAAAAAGTTATCTTTGTTCAAAAAGTCTGACGACTCAAAATAGGGTCTGCCACTATGGTCTCCTTCCTTCTAACTTTACTATCTTAAGCTTCCTGACTGCAAAGTAATTTACTGCCTTATTCATCTACTCATTACATATGTTCCTTATTTACCTCCCATATAAGAACCCTATAGGCCTATTGCATTTTCTTTGGATTATTTATTATTTAATAATGCCTTAAGAATGTCTGTTACCATCACCAAAAGTAAACTTCAATCGACATTAGTTTGCATGATAAGTACGGCATGATGAATTGTAAATAATTACAGAGCTTACACAATTCTATATTCTTTTATAAATTTATTTTTTCATCCGTGTGAGCAAAATTCACTAAACTGTTTACTAGGAGTGTAGTTTTGAGCAAAACACAGATCATAATGTAACTACAAAATAAAAATAACCTTAATTTATCAAAGCCAACTCTCGGAGATATGTTTCTGGCAGACTATCGATCAACCAAGTGATAAGATAAACAATGTCAAAAACTTATTCTTGAAAGTTTGAGCACTCACTAAAAGTTAAGTTACCTTTAACATGTCTATACTGTAACTTATAAATATATTTCTTCTCAAAATCATCCAAGTAAAAGTAAGTTGTGAAAATGGTTCATTTGCTTCTAGCTTCTAGAGCTCTGAACTGGATTGTGGATGAATAATTCCACTTTATCCATTACGTAGTCGGCCTACCATCACATACTTCAAAATCTTTGCTCTACCACAGGCCGACTCTTTGTGCTTATTTTAATTTTCATAGATTCACAGAGAAAATAACCCTTATTTATTTGTGTCCTAGATCTAACATTATATTTTTTTACATATTAAGTGACAGCTCTAAAAGCCAGTGAATAAAATTGGTATTTTCAGTAGACTCGCTCTAGTACGGCTTCGATCTGTTCGGAAACTGGATGGTCCAGTCAACCAAAAATATGTAATTTAGGCACAAGTGTGTTGCATATGACAAGAATTGCTTTCTTTCACACTTTCACCACTAACGGTTCTGATTGGAGTAATGCCATACTGGCACAGGGTAAATATGACTCCAATTGAAGGCACAGTACAGCTTTATTAAGATTGGTCTACTGTTAGCTCTGCGTTTATTGGGGATCAACTATACCATTTTACAAATTTCAAGATTCACAAAAAGATTAGGTTTAGTTAGTCCTGTTCCTAGTTGGTTGGACTAGAAGGAGTCTACTGTATGTTTATTATATAAATGCTAGGCACAACCATCAATAGTTTTAAATTATACTATTAATTAATTACACTTTATACTGTATAATGTAAAACATTGTATAGTTATCAAACTAAAACTAAAACTCCTTTATACAACAGTATTATAAGATATGAAAGATTTAATTGAGTATACCCAATGTATAAATAAACTATTTAACAAACAAACGCGTAATAATTATCTAATTGATTTATTCCCTTAACCCCTGATGATTAAAAACATCCAACATTTTGATAGAAAGACCCATCATTTGTTTAACAGCTGTGTGTTTACCCCACAAAACCAAGTGTTTCTCCACAAAGGTTATGTGTTTTAGATGTAACTTATATTCTTTTTCTTTTCATAAAGCTGTGCATCTATCATAAATGGTGCATTCAAAGGCAATTAACTATTTTATTGCATGATTGTTAAGGAGATAGCTAATTTCTAGTAAATAAATTTGTAAGAAATTGGTACCTAGCTTATTCACACATTATAGTCCTCGCCACCCTAACTTGAGGCAGCCCAAGGCCACAATAGATATGGCTGCGGCCTTGGGCTGCCTCAAGTTAGGGTGGCGAGGACTATAGAAGAAAGTGCAAAGTAAATCAGACACAATTCATTGATTCATAACAGTTGTGTATCACCTAAAAAATAGTTAAACATCAATGTAAACCAACTTCTCATATTTAGAGCTTTTTACAAATTAATCACAAATTCCTAGTAAAGAACCTAAATATCTCTTTGTTGGATTACTTAAAATGATTTAGCTAAGCTGATGTAGTTTTTGTTCAGCTTACTCTGACTATGTTTACCACTCTACCCTCAATATGCATTTTTCAATAATGGCCGAAACACACCACGTCTAACTATGCTTGACATGAAGACAAATTCATGGCAATATACATGTACAGTATGTGATATTCTTTTTTTATTACATTAACGTGTTTGGGTTTAAATGATAGTGGCAGTTTTAAACAATTGCCGAAACATAAGTAGCGAGTTTTTTATCACACACAACATGTCAAGGATTGTCTGACAAGATAAGTTTTAGTCTTTATTTGTCAGATCATACAATCCTGGGGCTATAAAATGACTTATGAATATTTTTGTTTTTAATCTGCTATCGGAAATGCAATAGCACACTCTCATTAGAACAGATTTTCTATCAAGAGTCGCATTTAATAATACTGTTTTGAATTTATATCTCTTTATTGGTACTTTTCTCAAGCTGTATTTAACTTTTTTTTGTTAATCGGTAAACATTATTTTAACTAATTTATTGTTATCATTTCACCATACAAAACATTTAAAGCTGGGGGAGTTGGGAAATAATCTAACTAAAATTATAAATAATTTGAAAGCTGAAGTTGACTACTGGTGCTCCTTAGAGTGGTGAGGCTGGACAAACATGTGTGTTGATGAGTAACAAGGCTGTATGTGATTCATGCCAATAAGGACACTTGAGGATGAGTTGAGATCTGCATCTGAGCGAGGTTGGAACTGATGGAGGTTAGTTGGGGCAGTGAGACGACACCACGCCGCCAGTATCAAACAGAGGATCACCAGAGAGATGCTTATGGAGGCTACCAACAGCGGTCCTGCCACAAACAGTAATATCATCCTTGTGTTTTAAAAATCATGTCACCAAAAAAGAACACTTTTTAAGATTAATAATGTATACAAATATGCATATTTGTGTTTTTGTTGCAATAAGCATGTAAGGAAAAAGGAATTTTCTGAATGATAACCTGTAGCTCATAGAGATGGCTGGTGAGATAGAACCTTGTGATAGGACACTTAAAATTGGAAAATATAATCATGCATAGTATGCAAGTTTTAGCTACAAGCTTTGTGAACATTTTTTGTTTTGGTATCCAATCCATACTAAATCCAGGAAATACCAAGTTTTTACCTGATAAACATTTCAAAACTCTGAAATTTTTAGCAAAATTATTTTATAAGCCATAACACATTACTCAGTTTGAAAACCCTTTATTATTGTTTTCCACAGACTTTAAATGATACAGAACTGTATATGACTTAAATGCACCCTTATTAGCGAATTTCCCTATAGGGAAGTAGCTATTACCGTAGGTGGCACGGTAAGACCTAGACCCGGGACCGATTTACTTTTTCATTTTGATGTCCCCAGAGGCCAAAAACACTATTCGTTCAAATTTTTATATATGTATATATATATATATATATATATATACAGGGTGAGTTTTAATTGTCCCCCCCCCCAACTTTTTTCTACATTTTTTCAAATATCAATCCCAGACCACTTCCAAACATTGTTGGGTAGTAAGTACTTCATTTTGACAAGGTGGCCATTTCCGGCCGCCATCTTGGATCCGCCATATTGGATGCAAAATTTTTTTTTCAAATGTAAAGGTGGGGTTGTGACCCATTATTTCGAACTACATTTTTACCCTGATTACAATGCCGCAAACCGTTTAAAAAAATCTTGATTCATTCTAAAGTTATGAGGGCTTTTTAAAACTTTATTTTTAGCCCATTTTAACATTGTGCATTTACAAACTAAGACCATAATCTCAAAATAGTGCTAGATAAAGATAAGTATACACTACCAGTAATTGTCGACCTATTTTCACTTGGTTATGACTGATGTATTTTTTTTCGGCCGCCATCTTGGATCCGCCATTTTGAAATGTGATAAATTATTTTAAATATGAAGGGGGCATTGTGACCCATCATTTCGAACTACTTTTTTAAGCTGAACTTAATTCCATGATCCGTTTTTCATTTTCATTTTTTGATTTTGAAATATTGACATTTTTAACAAAAAAATTTCAATATTTCATAAATAAAACTTGATAACAAAAAATGGGTTGCGGCATTGTCTTCAGCTTAAAAAAGTAATTCGAAATGATGGGTCACAACACCCCCTTCATTTTTAAAATAATTTATCACATTTCAAAATGGCGGATCCAAGATGGCGGCCGGAAAAAATACATCAGTCATAACCAAGTGAAAATAGGTCGACAATTACTGGTAGTGTATACTTATCTTTATCTAGCACTATTTTGAGATTATGGTCTTAGTTTGTAAATGCACAATGTTAAAATGGGCTAAAAATAAAGTTTTAAAAAGCCCTCATAACTTTAGAATGAATCAAGATTTTTTTAAACGGTTTGCGGCATTGTAATCAGGGTAAAAATGTAGTTCGCAATAATGGGTCACAACCCCACCTTTACATTTGAAAAAAAAATTTTGCATCCAATATGGCGGATCCAAGATGGCGGCCGGAAATGGCCACCTTGTCAAAATGAAGTACTTACTACCCAACAATGTTTGGAAGTGGTCTGGGATTGATATTTGAAAAAATGTAGAAAAAAGTTGGGGGGGGGGACAATTAAAACTCACCCTGTATAGACTTATATATATATATATATATATATATATACGTCCGTGAACGCGATAACTTGAGTAATTTTTGTCCGATTTTGATGAAATTTGGTTTAAAGGTGTAAAGCGGGATAAACTTGAATGAGTTCGCGAACCAGCACGATCGGACCATGGGAACGGGGCTTTACGGGGGGTTTTATGGGGTAAAAATTGGTTTTTCTCACTTTTGACCCTCAAAACACAAAATTTCCCAATTTCTCTTTAGACCTTTTTAAAGAGCTTAAAAAAACAAATAATTTAGTATATAAAAGTATTTTTGTTCGATTATTAGTAACGGAGAAAATTTAAAAAATTGTAAATTTAAAATTCCCATGTTATTCTTATGGAGAATATTGTCAAATGTTGTAGTTTGCTTGTTTATGAATATATTTTGATCAAACTTGGCAAATTTATTTATTTTGTACTAAGCTATCAATATTTTACTCAAAAACACACTTTATTAGTTTCGTTGTAGCAGCAAACCTAGGTACTCGTTAAACCTAATGTTATTAAAATATATTTAACTGAAAATCAATTCAGACAAATGGAAATTCGCTTAGTCGGCAGGTTTGCTGCGGCGGGGGTATTGACTTTTCTTTAGTTTATTAATTTTATCAAAAGGGAAAACTAATGTTTAAATCAATACAGGGTGGAAAAAAGTCCCGGGGCGGTTAAATATTCCAAAAAGTAATAAATTTAGAGCTTCAAAACTCGGTGCACATTTACTGGGCATTAAAATAATTTTACACATTATTCAGTGATGCGCTTCCTCCTCCGGGGGACGGACCGCTAGAAGTCAGAAGATAATCTTAGATGTAAGCATAGGTTTATATGCACATCAAACTAAAGGCCTTTACTAGTAGAATGCAATGCTGCAAATTTGAACTCAACCGGACAACGGAGTCAAAATGGCAGCCATTCAAAGATTTCTTTAATCTGCCATTTTAAATATTTGAAAGACTGCCATTTTTTATCAGTTTTTTTTAGCTCAAATATGTGGCATCATATTCTACTAATAAAAAGCCCTTTTGATGTGCATATCAACCTATGCAAACGTTTTTGATTTTCTTCCGACGTCTAGCGTGCGCCCTGAGTAGATAGCGTATATCATATTGCGTATATCATCTTTGAATAACTGCCATTTTGGACTCGATTTTCTGTTTGAGTTCGGGTTTGCAGCATTGTATTTTACTAACAAAGACCTTTAATTTGATGTGCATATCGACCTATGCTTAAATTTCTTCTGACTCATTGCGGGCCGTATCCCAGAAGAAGTAGCACATCACTGAATAATGTGTTAAAATGATTCCAATACCCAGTAACTGTGTACCAAGCTATGAAGCTCTACATTTATTACTTTTAAACATTTAATCGTCCTGGGATTTTTTTTCCACCCTGTATAACAGTTAATAATAAAATTCTCTTTTAACCAGATTTAAATAAATTTAATTTTTTTCCAGTCACCATTGTATTAGTTTGTTGGTTACGAAAATTTTATTAGTTTATTCTATAAATTTCTGGAATTTTAAAAATCTATGTATTTTCATGCAATTTACTACTTAAGTTTATTCAATTCCTCCCAAATAAATAGGTTTTGATAGTAAATGCCTGCTCATGGTTATTTTACCTCCATAGGTTGCTGGAATGTCAGGATGGGTTCCGACATCAGGCTCTGGTAGGTCTGCAAACCTTGGAAGGTCTTCGAGATGAGTGCTGGGAACACATCGGCTGCGAGCTCGGCTAGACCCGTCGCCGCATACGAGTCCCACGGCACACTGACTACTACTGTGGCATGGCTGTCCTGCCACACGGACCAACACACACTCTCCCCACACCTGCAGAGATAACAGTGAGTACATTCAATCAGAGAAGCTGTTAAGTATCATTTTCGGTTACACTAGACCAGAAAGGAAGTGGATGGGATATAGAAAGGAAGGAAAGAAACGCTATGGACAAACTGTGGGGCGAGGGCCACACTACACAGAATTTAAATCAACTTAACTAACTGGTAATTTAATTTCATCTTGCATTCAGCTATTTTGACTGTTTGACTTTACGAGTACTATTAAGAGCCTACTTCTATCTATGCCCTACCAAAGAATGTCAATTAAATTCTTCATAGAGAAGCTTTTGTTATTGGGAGAAAGGGGAGCGAGTGTTTGAGCTTAAAAATGTAGGCCTGAAAACACACAGTCAAATCTCGCACTCGGTTTGAAACCCACTGTAAGCTTTAGGTTGAGGCTATAAACAGTATATAAATCCATATACATGTACTACTACTGTTATTTACTGTCCACACCAGTGTCATTTAGAATGAAATAATCAAAATCGGTTTTAAGGGAAAGCAGTCTTTACCCTTCGTAGCATTATGGATATACTGGGGAGGGGACCAAACCTGTACCTCTCTTGCACCAAAGTCCAAGATGGACATACTAGGCTAGCAACAACAAAACACCCAATTAAGTGGATAAAAGTAGATCTCTTACATTAAAGGGCTGAACTTGAAGATCTACCCAAGATATGCCACAGGGCCTGTGATAACTTTTATTTCTTGTAAGAAGTTGGAAGTTAAAACATAAATTACATAAGATCTTTTGAAAATTAATTTAAATGGATGTATGAAAGAATCAAGAAAGCTATTTTTGTGCGGATTTGATTGATTTAATTGATGATTTACCTGACAACGGCAGCCATGGGCTAGCTGACACAGAGCATATCTGTGACAGTCAGAGTCTGTGAGACAGGTTGCTCCAGAAGGATCCTCATCTAGGCGCTCTCCCCCCGTCATTACATGTCTGTGTCAATATCATATATTACGTTCTATTTTATAGATATATCCAAACAGTTATTCATAGTTAGTTTTTATTTAGTTAATTTTATTTCTACACTGTAAATACCCATGTGTTTGTACGGTTAGGCCTAGCTGTTTTGTGGTTAAATAATATTTTAGCTTTTTGTTATACATTAATATATAATAGTGTATTTGTATTAGATCAGCTAAAATTATAAAGTAATAAAATGGAATACAATTTGGCCCTAACTTTCCAAGTCCTGCGTAATTTGCGAAGCAGACAAAACAATCCTTCAGGAAAAGCTGTAAAACAGGAGAATGTGGAGGCTTTTACTAGGAGCTCACTCACAGCTAGATCTCCAATAAAACAAAGTGAGCTGTACATACGAGAAGGGCACAAGACTGTGACAGCTAGTGTGACTGTGACTTGAGGGTGTGTATCGTGGGCTCTGTCTCGGAGGTGGAAACAGGGGAACTGAATATGAAGACCCAAGAGATTGTATCAGTTTCAGAGAAGGAAAATGGACCACCACGGCCATCCCTACCCACCAGTGTGAGAAGAAAGAGAGGAAGGAGACTGGGGAACGTGACTTACTAAAGCCGCAAATAGAAAAATTAAGGGGTTTATCAACAGGCCTAAGAGGAAAAGGTCGGTGGAAACTCCTAGCCCTGCCAGAGAAGAGCCCTGGCATTTATCCTATGCTGCGCATAGGAGTTTCAGGTACGGTGCAGCAACAGCAGGATCAGGAGAATCCATTGTGGCCACAAAGGTAGGATGTGCTACCACTGCTGCCAAGGGGTACAGCAGAGGAAGCTTACAGAAAGGATTGGACTTTCAAAGAACAACTTGCAGGCTAGAAGATGGCGATTGTTTTAGAGAATTATTCTGATGATAGTAGGATCACTGATGCACAATTTTTCCAGTAACAGGAGAAAATGTTTAGGATGGTAAATTCAGCCACCACCCCAAAGTAGGTGCAACAAGAAGAAAGGTGACCTCGTTGTCTACTGTGGTAATGAGGAAACCAGAACTTGGCTCCAGGAGGTCTTCTGCTCGCTTTGGTGTATATGCCACTAGACGGGACCACCACAGGAGGAAGTCTGAATGTTGGTTGAATACTCGGCCAGTTCCGGCGACTACCTCGTGCCTGGGCTGGGACACCAATTCCCACAACACTGTGTGGGATTGTAGGGATAATAATAAAAGAGGTAAACCATTTCTTGAATTCTAAGTCAACGAATCATTGGTCAAATGATTGCCAATGTTGGTTCGGAGCCAACTTACCTGAGCAGGGTTGGGGAATTGGTAATAGACCTCTAACTAACTACAGAGGGAATTAGATCCAGAATCCTGGACTAGAAGGTATCTCAGGAGCCCTTTCCGACCACAGACACATCTTGTTTCGTGTAGGCAACTTTTATTGGAAATTAAAGAGTTCAGGAATCCCAGTATGGCAGACTGGGATCCATACAGATCAGCTCTGGAGGAGTGCATGGTGTTTTGACACACAGTTCCCTAGAGTCAGAGATATGGACTTGATCAAGCCTCCAGGAACATGGGCGGGGTCATATAGTTTCATCCTTTGATGAGAGCCGCCCGCTAACAGTGAGGAAAACAAGGTAAGGTGAGTTGGTGGAATACAGATTTGGCTAACATAAAAGGATCGTGAGGACTCAGTTGAGTAGGCAAAGAATACAAATAACTGGGAAAGCTACCATAGAATGCTAACTTAACACAATCATGCAGTAAGAAGAGCAAAAAAAACTCTCCTGGAAACATATCTGTAGCAAAATGGAAAATTACAGATGTACATCTAGGATATACACAGTCCTAACATAGGAAACTCCTCCAAGTTAGGGTCTCTAAAGGGGATCCTTGTACAACCCCAAGGATGTGCTAAAGCTCATGGCAGCCACACACCTCTCAGGGAGCATTATCCTAAATGAGCAATCAGAGCTGGAGGATGAAGAGAACAATGTTACAATGGAGGGCAAACACCACATTAATTCATGTGTATTAATTGTGTATTTTGTAATACCAATGTCATACAAATAACCTTAAATATTATATCAGAAGCCTGATTATTATTTTGATATACCTTCATAACATTTTAAAGACAGTTTAATTTGAAATTTTCATTGTCACATAATGAACATATGGTGATTTGAAATGTGTGCTTAACCATGATATACAAAATTCTGTATGCACATGATAAATGCCACTTATAAATTGGTCAGACCATCCTGCCAGGTACATATCATAATCCAATTTAGAAACTACAATTTAGAATATCACTTAAAAGATCCAGGTTCAAAAGGCCTTTAATTAGGAATATTATTTAATTATATTGAATGACTTCTTGATCAGTATCGTACGTGTTATTAAATTACCTGAAAAAAAGATATACTGTACGTCTAATAACGCTAGTAAAAAAAGTAATAATATATGAATAATGAATAATGAAGTTTATTTCCCACAAAAAACCACAATGTAACAATACCAATATTTACACTTATACTGTTGACTCACAAGACGGTAAATGCATATGAAAGATGGTATATGTGGTATACGTAAACTGAGTCACTCAAACTGATTTACAAAAGACATGTAATCACTTTTTGTGTACACATGATTGCTGTGACAGGATTTGTTTTACAAGATTTACTCATTTGAAACTTTTCCCTTGGCAGAGTTGGTAAGTACTCCATGCTTATTGCAATCCTTAAAAGCACTCTTTCTTGATTATGTAAGCCACCACTGTAACTTAATTGTACTTTTGCACAGGGTCAAATACCGTATAATGGTCCTTAATAGAGATGTGTAAAGCATGGGAAACAGGATTGGTTATGCAACAAAGCTTTTAGTGAAAACTGAAATCAGTGTGTTGTTGTTTGGTTAAAGTTAGTTTTAGGTAAAATCCTGGTCAAATCAACAGTTTTTCATTCGTAATTGCTAATTAGTATTGGTTTTTTAAGACACTGGAAAAGAGATCAAGCAAAGCAAATTTGAGAGGAGGCCCTTCTCATTTGAGAATATCTATGGGTATATTATGTGAGAGAATTTTTTATCTCGAATGCAACAGTTACATCATCTTAAGATTAGCCAAAGTTGTAAAAATTATCCCTAAACAAACTCATACTAAAATTTATATTGTGAATGTAAACAAGTGTTTATCCCTGAATTTACTAGTAAAATTAATTTCAACAGTTTTATAGTAGTTTACGCGAGTTGCGTAAACTACTTTACCTACAACACCGGTTTTGAATTACTAATAATCACTACTCAAAACTTCTAAGAGAGTTTATGTTTCCTATAGCCTCTCATTCCCACTGACATTGATGCACAGACTCATTGTTCCAATCACTAATTGCACCAATTGTTAATTATATTGAAATTATTTTGTTAATTTGTTACAATTTACTTGTGAATTTGTTAATTAAATTTGTAAACAGCTGATTAGTTGAAGTTCAAAGTATAACAATTTTTCTTCTTCTCTCTCAATCCTTGAACTTTATTGGTCCTTGTCACCCATGTTGTTAAGTAAAACTATGCTGTTATGTGTAAGTAAACAATGCTGTTAAGAAACTTTTCAATTCTAAAAACTTAACTGAAACGGTTATTTAAATAAAGGTCGTAGGTACGCCTAAAGGTTTTAAAATCTAACAGTGGGAATATTTTATTATTTTACATGTAAAAAAGGCAAAAATCATTATATTATTAATACTTTTACTGAAGTTGATACCATAAGAAGATTAAGGGATGTTTTGTTGCAAAATTTCATCGAATCCATTGTACTTATCCTCATTATAATTACATCGAGTCAGTAGCACAATGAAACCATTGCTAACAACTAAATGAGCTGTTTCTCAATCCATGAATCCTATACTGTTATATGAGCAATGTTTGCTTGTATGTTTGGATGTATGTTTGGATGTATGCCTGTATACTGGTTTGCACAAAGATCTCGAAAACAGCTTTGACGATTTTCTTCAAATGTTGTAAATAGTTTATTTCTGGACTAAAAACATGTTTACTGCAGTTGAAACTGTCTAAAAATCTTATTACGCAAAAAATGAAACTGAAAGTCTAAATTTTTTAACATTGGCTCTATGGGTTGCTTAGTAACTATGTTGGTTGAACAAAATAACAAGGAAAATATAAACAAAAGACTTGTAACATGTGTTTATAATAAGCCATCCATAGTATACTACTAAATTACAAAATGCAGTACAAAGAGAAAAACATCAGTTCTAACTATTGAGCAAAGATTACACTAATGATGACTCAATACAGGGGAAAATACTTCCAATCAAATACTGATTATTTAGCTTAGCTCTCTCTATTTTATTACATTAACTAGTTTACAGAGTCGTTCAAAGATTGAAATTACACCCCTTGGGCTAGCCAACCTGACAAAATCAACAGTGCTGTGTTTTCATCCAAAATTGTATTGCTGCGCTAACTCCAATAACGATATCGTCTTACTGCTGAAATAACTGCTACAAGGCGCACTTATTCATAAAAGCGCACTCAATGATATTTTTGTTTAGTTAATCTGTTTGAATACTGAATGTGTCTGGGCTTAATTGAATTACTTAAGCAAAAAAACAATTCATCGGTGAATCACATTCATGGATCCATCTCATAAATGGCTAACTTAAACTCCTTCATACTTGTAAAATGAACCTGATTCTTCAATGAACTCTGTCTAAAACCCTGAGTACCTAACTATTGCAGACATAAATTAAAAGTTTAACAACAGGAATTTAACGTAATTAATTTAAGCCCACACAATCGGTACTGGAGGTCCACGAGGTAGGAAGTGGTAAAGGAATTAAGTTAAGGCTAGCAGTGCGGAGTGTGGGAACCGTCTGTGGCAGTTAAATTATGTATCTAAAATACTAAAATACCATGGGAAGAGAGGAAAACAGGTCCAAGACAAGGAAGTGGTGAAGGGAGTAGTAAAGGCTAGCAGTGCAGAGTGTGGGAACAGTCT